AAGCCTCTGTACTTATTAGGTTTCAGAAGCCAGCCCAGCACAATTTCTGAAATATTCCGTGCCAGGCTCTTTGCATTTCATGCTGGACATAGACTTTGTAAAGATCAGATGGGCTTCCAGAGGCGTGGGGATTATAAAGAAACATTCCTAAACCAGCAGATGCAGCTAAGTTGCTTGGTAACAGCGTGTCAGTAAACTTTTTATAGTTCACAAATTTTAAATCTGACATTTATTTTCAGAGTCCTGAGACAGTGTTTAATCACTATTAAATATTGTGTCACCTTTTGCTTAGGCTGGCCACATGCAGATTTTACTTACATTTGATATTTTATTTCTGTAAAAAATTATATTTAAAGTCACAAAACTGTTCCAATAACTAATAAGTGTACAGGACTAGATGTGGATATAGATGAAATGAGCAATTTTTGTGAGCTCTTTTACGATATAGTCAGAAATTCCTAAAGCACAAGTGTAGACAAATGGTGAAATACCCAATTGAAATACATATGTACATACTGTATTTTCTAATGAACAAATGTGTGTTTTCATTTAGCCTGTTATCTAATCCATATTGCATAAGCAACCAGCGCTTATAGCGCTTATAGTACAGTCCACAGTCTCTTAAAAATTGGTGTCCACAGTCACCGGAAAACTTATTAAGTGTTCTTGCATGGCAAGACCACTTACTGTTATCTCACATATATATTCTTATTATAGCCAAATTTACCACCCTAACTCCTCCCACAGTTTTTACACTGCATAGACCGTAATATACCGAAACGTGCGGATTGTTCCCGATCGGTGTGCTATTACTTTGTGGAACGTTTCGCCAAATGGTTCACAAAATATCGGCGTTTTTGTGGTGAAATTGGTCCCATAGGAATGAATGGTGGAATGTTCAAAACTAGAGTGGGAGCTGACAAAAGCTAGAGTGTGAGCTGAAAAATCAGGACATGATTTCTAAACTGCCATCACTCCCTCATTTTGAAGCCCACCTACACAAATCTTATATCAAAACGTTCAGTTATCCCTGCTGCCACTAAAAATGTCCACGGCTAAGCCATAGTCCTGACAGTTTTCGCAATATGACCATTTGTTTGCAACTCACGCCACCCATTGACATTCATTGAAACTCCACTCTAGCCACCTCAAATTTGAAGGGCAATTTCTAAACTGTGACTTCATTTTTAATATTTCAGAGACATACTATGCATCAAAATGTAGGTCTGGGTCTTGTGATTCTCACAATACAAGCTCTTCGATGTAGGATTTATATTTTTTTAAAATACAACCGTTTGAAAATGGCAACCACCAGTGAAGTGAGCAAGTTGCAGCAGTTTGTTTTTAACCGCTCTTCTCTGCCCTTGCTGTAGAGTGAGTTGCCATAGGAAACCCAGGTGTGTGAGCAGGCAGCGGAATGACAAGCCACTCCACCCAGTTACTCCTCCCACTCCAGTTGTAGACTACTAGTGAAGGCAAGAACACTTCACACAATTTCCCCAGAAATTGGAGCTTTTCTAGTTTTAAATTATGTTCTTCTCATGCTCTCACCAGATAATGAAGCAAATAAAGCCCTTCAATCTATACACTTGTGTCTTCTCTTGTATATCAGTGTTCAATATGATTTCTACCGTGCTTTTCTCCCACCATGCAAAACACATAAACATAAATCGTATATAGTGTAATACCTTAAGATAAATGAGCTAATATATACTAAATAATCAAGCTCACATTAAAAACAAAATACTGTGCCAAATATATCTCCACCATGTGAAAAATTGTTGGTATCCACCACCCTCAGTCCAAACAATTCCTGCAGTGTTATAAATGATCCTTCCGATATTCTCCACCCGTTGGTCTCCTCATTGATAAACTCCCCAAAAGAGAAAATGCTCATATAGTGTAATATTTTTATATTAATTGCTTTTAGTCTGTTATCTAATCCAGACACCCCTACCAGATGCTATACAAAGTCTTCACTATGTACTTTTCTTCCAGTGCAACCAAAGCAATTCCTCTTAGTCAATGCTGAGATTGGAAAATAAAGAATACAAATAATGAAGCTAATCTACATGTTCTCTACTCCAATTAGCAAGCTTCATTTGGTAAATTCAAAGCATTGGTTAACAAAGTAAATTATGATTTACTTATGGGGGAAACTTACTAAAACAGGTGTATTCAGAATCTGGTGCAACTGTTCATGGTAGCCAATCAGTTTCTAACTTCTTCATTTAGGCTTTGGCAATAAAAACTGGAGGCTGATTGGATTCTATGCAGAGTTGCACCAGATTTTGCACTCTCCAGTTTTAGTAAATCAACCCCATAGTGCTGCCCATTTGTCCCTCCATCTTATTTTTGATGTGCAAGGGATTACAGAAGACTAGTACAAAGACAGACCAAGATACCATTTCAAAGTACATTAAAGTATGTTAGTGACAAAATAGGATTACATTGTTGTATTCAAGTCTGCCTACAATAACGTCCCCCGCACAAGGGCATTCCTATCAGGTCCGCCTGTTAGTTTATCAGGTGGACCTGACTGGATGGTCTATTCATCCCTATGGATAGGTTGGTGTAATTGTACTTGCGTCCTTTTGCACCTACCTACCTGCAGGTTCAATCAGGCCCGCTAAAAAAAAGGGAAAGGGCTCTGTCTTCTTCCCTTTAGATGGAGCAGATTGGAGGTAGCCGGGTGTAAACAGACAGTGGAGTCTAGTTATCCCTGTCCATTCATAGAACAGAGCGGGCTCCATCCCTGTCCGCTCTGCAGAAGCTAAGCGGACACAGATGTATCATCTGCCCACTCTGCTCTGATCTGCAGTGGATCAGTTCACAGATTCCCTGCTGATTGGAACAGAATCCTCCCTATGTGCAAGGGGCCTTATACTTTAAATAGATGGTACAATCATATCACAATGTGAACAGCTTTGAAGTGAACCTGTTTTACCCATGAGGGTAAAGCAACAGTATTGTTTAAAGTTAGCCCAACTGCATCTAAAACTTTCCCTTCTTTCACACTCCCTTTACACTGTGACCCTTCAGAGAGAGGAGAAGAAGCTCTGTCTAAGCTATTAGTCAATCTTAGTGGGAACTTACTGACAGAAAATAGTTACATGATTTCTGATCTGAAAGTACCGTGTATCTCTCTTTGCTACCAACAGCGAAGAGAAAGGCGATGGAGTGAGGCAAAGGTGAGTATGTACATTAAGGGGGCCAGGCACTAACGAGGGAAGCATTTTGCTTTACCCTTACATATTTTATGAAAGTTTACAAAAGTAGTACAGTAATGAAAGCAACATGCTGCTTATTGATATATTTCTGCCAGAGACCCAATAGCATTAGTAATCATCTGTATTTTTTGAATGATCATAAAGTTTTTCCTATTTGAGTACACAACACGTAGGAACACAAATAATTGTTTAATGAAAACAACAGAATTAGCAAAAACTAGACATGTGCATTTTGATTTTATTTTTGGACAGAAATTTAATTTTCAGAGATTTGGATGTACACGAATCTCCGAAAAAGTTATAACGAAATTGACAAATGCATTTGTTTCAATACAATGCTGTCAGATGATGCGATAGTAGTTTGAGGCCATGGTGAATTTAATTCAATTTTCAAATTTGTTTGGTAATTCAGATTTGGATAACTAATGGATCCAAATTTCTCTCCATTCATTAATTTGAATTTAACGCCAGTTGATATTGTCCAATCAGCTCACACCATTTATTTTGGTGAGTTGGAATAGCGTTCAAAAATATTGAATCCTTCCAATTCGAATCTCTCCAATTCAGTACTATATTGAATATGTAATCTTTCTGAAAAACTTTAGAATTTTTTCAAATTCACCTAGACAATGAATAATCGAAATGAATGCTGAAAACTAATTGAATCAACATAACAAATATGACAAAACAAAATTCTTCTATGAATGAATGCATCTGAAACTAAACAAAAAGTTTCAGTGTACACGTCTAGCCAATACCTTCTAATATATTGATAGGAGCAACCAGTAAAATAAGTGGTAGTTACAAGCCCTGCCTCACTATGTGTTAGCCACTCTCATATCTCTGTTCAACTTTGGTATAGTTCCACTGCTTCAGAATCCCAATAGAACATGCTCATACAAACAATGGGACAGGTGTAAAGCATTAGTTAAAGCAGAACTCCAGGCACATAGCTTTACATGTTTTCTGGTGCTTAAAAAAGTTACCTTTGCTCAGGTACAGTATATGCCACACCACCACCGCTGCTCTGTATTTTAGAATTCATAGGTTTTCTCAAAAGAAGCAAGGTCTGGCTGTACTTGTGTCTTGCTGCAGATATTAGAGCTGTAGTTCTCATAGATGGAAGCTCTAGTGTCATTTATCCACCAGGCCATTGACACAACACTGTGGGGTAGATTTTATTTATTTATTCCAGGTACTTATATAGTGCCGTCAATTTACGCAGCGCTTTACATATATATTGTACATTCCCATCAGTCCCTAACCCTTAAGGGGCGTACAATCTAAGGTCCCTAACTCACATTCATACATACACATACCAGGGCCAATTTAGACAGGATCCAATTAACCTACCAGCATGTCTTTGGAGTGTGGGAGGAAACTGGAGTACCTGGAGGAAACCCACGCAGGGAGAACATGCAAACTCCAGGCAGGAGGTGTCGTGGCTGGGATTCGAACCAACGACCCTAGTACTGCTAGGCGGAAGTGCTAACCATTTAGCCACTGTGCTGCCCATAGATTTACTAAACCTGGAGCCCTCAGAATCTGGTGCAGCTGTGCATGGCAGCCAACCAGCTTTTAACTTCAGCTTGTTCAATTAAGCTTTGACAATAAAACCTGGAAGCTGATTGGTTTCTATGCAGAGCTGCACCAAATGTTTGCACTCTTCTGAATGGCCAAGAAGAACAGAAGGGCAGATAGATGAAGCTAGCACTTCCATCTCTGTCATCCATATCTGCAGCAGGACACAAATCCAGCTAGAGCTGTACCATCTTGCATGAAAAAACCTGTAAACTCTAATATACAGGGCAGCAATATTGGTGTAGCATACTTTTACATGCCAGAATTTACAAAAAAAACCTCTGTACCTTGATTTCTGCTTTAAATGCAGGAACACAGTTATCAAAAATGCATAATTTTAAAGTGTGACTCATAAAAAACAGAACTGATCCATTTATCTAAAAAAGTGTTTTGTCGTATAAAATAATGTGTGTTGTAATAATTATAAGAACACAAGGCAGGCTGTGAAATCTTAAACTTGTAACATGCACAGAACGATGCAGCAAGAAAACAGATCAATACATGCACTGTTAAATCCCAGAGTACTAGTCATTGTAGCACTAAAAAAAACAGCGCGTTTATGTATCATGGTGAGCACTTGTTCTGATATAGTAAAGATGAGCTTTAATGTCAGAAGAAAAAAACAGTATCAAACTGAGAGAATTAAAGGTCTGGCACGCCAACATAGGTAATAATTTCACTGCTTAACCACATTCACAGAGGCTAGCAGCAGATGCAAGTATACCCTGGAGCAATTTATACAAGTGCAACCTCTAGCGAAACCATTCACATATATTATTCCACTTCTGCGAGTAGTACACTTCCTACATTCAGTGTTGCAAGCTAAATTACAAGAAACATTAATGCAAGATGCGAAAAACAACAACATTAAATGTGCATTACTAAGTCAGAATTTATTTACTGAACTAGTTGCACAGGCTATTCCATTTAAAATAGATGAGCACACATATTGAGGTGAGTTTAAGTGGAAGTCAAATGGTTGAGAAACAGCCTAAGAGAATATCAGTGAAATATCTAATAACTGTCATTATCCAGGCCATTTGTGCTCAAGGATTTATATGACCAAAGCTATAGATTTTTTTTCAAAAAGGTGATCGAATGCAGTTTAGTTAATCATTCGTCATAGCTGAGGCTTATCGTGCTCTGTATTAATTTAATTATTTGCTAGTAAAAGTATAAAAGGTAACGTGTGCATGCCAATATCATTAAAACAAAAGGAACATTGTTCCCTTTAACATCACCAAGTAAAAGTCTTTATTTAGTATTAATCCAGATACAGACAATTACATTGTATGTGTTTGCTTTGAGTAACCAATCCTGCTTGGTTATTCAAGAACAAGACATAGACTTCCTCAAGATCTAGTTCTGGCCAGCTCAGTAGATTGTTTTAAAAAAAAAAACCTCTGGATGCATAAAATATAACTGGATATTAATATTAAGGCCTCATGCACACTGGATGTTTTTGCAGCTGCTTTAGGGATGTCAGGCATTTTTTTTCCTGCCTCAAACTCCCCTGCATGTTAGCCTATGTGTCCATGCAGATGTAGGCTGTTAGCAGCATTTGCTGCCAGGAGCTTTTAGAGGCAGTAAAAACAAACCTACTACCAGTGTATCCAGGAACAGCAGAAATGCTTGATGCTGCTAAACGCATCTACACGCACCTAAACGCTAGGCAGGTTCAGCACTTGAGGGTTTATTAATTTTAATAGCTAGAATAAATTATTATTATTTTGGCCAATGGAATTAATTAACATCCAAACTCTTGACGGCTGTAAACACGCCTAAAAGCTTGTAAAAGTGTTACACACATTTAGAAGTGACAGGCATTTTTTCTGCCAAAACTCTGATGCCAGGAGGTGTCCTGTGTGCACAAGGCCTTAGAGGTAATAGCGATAGGGGTGGGGGCGGACTGCCCGAGGGCCTGGGGTCAGTAGGGGGCCCCATTAGAAGCCCCTGGTACCTTTCATAGGCTTTTTTTGGGTATGGTTTGAGTGTGGGCAAGGACACAGGGGCCCCATGATCCTCTAGTGCCCGGGGGCCTCATGAGTTGTCAGTCCGCCCCTGGATAGGGGTAGTTGATCCAGGGAATATATGATTGCCTTCTGGAAGGAATTTTTTTAATATCACCCACTGGAGTGAATTTGATCAAGCTTTATATGAGGAAGGGGGGGTGTTACCTTCCTCTGGATCAACTGTGGGTATAGAATTGTGTATAAGGAGATTTTATTTTCTATTGTTTGAACAGTTTCGTAGGATTTACTAAATTAACATTCACTGTACTAAAGGAACAGTTATTTAACCATGGTGATACTCCTAATTTAATTAGGATCAGCAGCAGCTATTGGAATTGATTTTCAAAATGAGTAGGGAATATGGAAATGTGAACATTTACTAAGCCTATTTAATAAGGTGAACCAATGTTCACTTCAAAAACTCAATCACAAGCAAGGGAAAAACATTTGTTTGAATGGTTGAGACTTATGCAGGCCATAGACGGGTCGTTTATCGGTTGAATTTTCGTCTGCACAAAAAAATTGGCCAATATTCAGGTCGTTAGTGGGGCAATGCCGTTTAACATGGATCTTCTCGTTTATTTTTATCGGTCATGCTGGAAAATCCACGAAAAATGGCTGTTTTTCGTAGACATTGGTGGCAGCATCGGCAACGGCCAATTTTTCGTTTATCGTCTGACAATTTGGCCGATAAATGGCCCATTTATGGCCTGCATTAGGCAGGCCATAGATGGTGCAAATTTCTTTCCTGCAACCACAGGTGTGGACAGGGGAATCCCTCCCACTGAGCTATTGTGTTCTCCTGGTGGGTGGACAGGGAAGCCAGCCGTGCTGGGAGAAGACAGTTATTATTGCTAGCAGATATAACAGCCACTAGCAATAATTACATGTAAAATCCAGCAGGCTGATTGTACCCAAGTTGACAGATCGATCAACTTGGGTATGCTCAGCCTACCCACAGTGGTGTCCCGAGGCAGGTGCGGAGGGTGCGCACCGCACCAGGCGACACCGACCTCACGGGGTGACACCGGACCCGCTCCACAAACAGGTAAGTTGTAAAGCAAGCCGACAATCCCCGCAGGATGGATCCGATCCATCCTGCGGGGATCGTTGGCTTTCTTTACAACTTACATTTTCATGGAGTGGGTCCGGTGTCACCCCGTATAGGTTGCATGCCGACGATCCCCGCAGGATGGATCAGATCTGCGGATTGGAGAGCGTAATGGATTGGAGTCTGATCCATTATGCTCAATCCGCAGATCCAATCTATTCTGAGAGGATCGTCGGAGGGGTTGTCACCAAGTGTTACCGCAGTGGGTGACACCAAACCTAGGGACGCCCCTGCCTACCCATACAAGAATTGAATGTCAGTCGTTCCCTGCTGAACCAGATTTTAATTGTCTATGGCCAGCTTTAATTCTGTGAATGTTCATCTGCTTCTTTATTATATGTATGCATCTAAGATCTTTGGAGACAACTATGTCTATGCAGAATAAGTAACAGGTTCACTTTAATGCCTGTCTCCCCATCAGCAGATACCTTTGCTTCAATCACTAATGCTCCTTTCAAATGTCTGTTCCTTCTGGTATAGAGAGTCATTTAACTCACTCAGCGTCCTCTTATATGACCATTTGGAAACTCGGGCACTGCCCGAGGGCCCAGGGTCAGTAGGGGGCCCCATGAGATGCCCCTGGTACCTTTGTCATAGGATTTTTTTGAGTTTGGGCAAGGACACAGGGGCCCCATGATCCCCTATTGCCCCATGAGTTGTCAGTCCGCCCCTGTATATGACAGTGCTGGGGCTTAGTGATTGGGAGAGGGGTAGAAAATTGTGTGAGTAGAGTTTAGGCTATGATACATGATTTCTTTTGGATAAAATTTTTTTTTAACTTGTTAAATGTATTAATTTCACTTTACAGTTCCCTCATATTGAGGGAGGAGGTCCTCAACTCTATGTAAACTGTGACTAGAGAAAATTCGGACTTCATTTCCTTGCTACATAAAATGCAAAGGAAATGAAGAAAAGGTGAGCTTATACTGCTGGGGAAGGGGGACGTTCAAGTGAACTCATTGTCCTGTCCAGCTTGTGTAAAGCACCGGTTAGTTTTGCATTTTTTTTGTTCTATGGGTTTTACATTGGAATGCAGAAACATTTTAAAAGCCTTAGTTTTTCCAGTCTTGTGGTTCTCATTGATTCTCCGATTCCCTTGGAACTGGTATGTGATGTGAGTGGCCAGCTCAGTAAGTGGTGATATGGGAGAGAATAGTGAAGTAATACTGTATTCATCCAGAACAGGCCTTAAACCACTGAGTGGAAGGTGCTACAGGGCTGATGTTTTATGCTAATCTATCTTTGCTTTTGACCTTTTAAAGTTGAGGTCAGTTGCACTCTGGTGGGTGCATTTTATATGTGCTGGAGGTGAATAGCTTTAGATTTCACTTGAAGACAAAACAATATTTGTGTGTTCGAGATTTTTTACAGCTATTAATATTTTGAACAGAAAATATATCAATCAGCTCATAGAGTGAAACAGCCTTCGCATATGAAATTTTACACTCTGTTTGACATTTTAGTATATATTTAAGTGAGATTCGGTATTTGTATTGTAATACATCACTCATGTGAAGTCAGCTTAGTGTATACCTGTTGGAAATCCAGAGCAGGTGTAACACACTGTTAGATTGTCAACCAAACTAGGGATAAAGTTTGGGTTTGTCACTACCATGTGTTCACATAGAATCCCTAAGAATTGAAAGATTCACAAATTGCAAATATTTTTGCTGAAAATCACAGGTCCCCCACCAAAACAAGGAACAGCTCATAACACAGTGCATAGCCTTTTTCCTAGTAAGCGGATTCACAGGATCCAATAATTTGAAGGAATGGATAACCCAGCCTCTTTCTATCAAAGGTAGGCTCACCATAGCCATATTGTAAGTGTTGGAACTGTTAGGGAGAACTGACATAACGGTGTAGAGAAAGATTTTTTTTTTTTAATTTGCAATTGGTACATTTCTCCCATGACCTCTCATGCCTTTTTTTTTAATTAGCTTGCTTATTAGCCCTACAAATGGCCAGAATTGAATGCCAAGATTTCCTCCTGTAGACTTTGTCACAAAGTTTGTAAATTTCAAACTTCGAGCAAGATTTTAAAAACTATCAACTGAACCGAAGCATTGTTCATCCTTAAATAAAATCACTAAAATGGAAAGAAACAGATGGACTTTTGAGGTGTCAGAGTATGACTATAATAAAATGTAACACTTTT